AGACACAAACATTACCAGTTGTAACAGAGGAGTACTCAGACACAAACCACACCAGTTGTGACAGAGGAGTACTCAGACACAAACCACACCAGTTGTGACAGAGGAGTACTCAGACACAAACCTCACCAGTTGTGACAGAGGAGTACTCAGACATTAACCTCACCAGTTGTGACAGAGTACTCAGACACATACCACACCAGTTGAAGCAGAGAAGTACTCAGACACAAACCTTACCAGTTGTGGCAGAAAAGTACTCAGACACAAACTTGCCAGTTGAAGAAGAGAAGTACACAGACACAAACCTCACCAGTTGTGACAGAGAAGTACTCAGACACAAACTTTACCCAGAGGAGTACTCAGACACAAACCACACCAGTTGTGACAGAGAAGTACTCAGATACAAACCTTACCAGTTGTGGCAGAGAAGCACTCAAACACAAACCCCAGTTGAAGCAGAGAAGTACTCAGATACAAACCTTACCAGTTGTGACAGAGGAGTACTCAGACACAAACCACACCAGTTGTGGCAGAGGAGTACTCAGATACAAACCTTACCAGTTGTGACAGAGGAATACTCAGACACAAACCACACCAGTTGTGGCAGAGAATTACTCAGATACGAACCTCACCAGTTGTGAAAGAGGAGTACTCAGACACAAACCACACCAGTTGTGGCAGAGAAGCACTCAGACACAAACCTTACCAGTTGAAGCAGAGAAGTAATCAGACACAAACCTTACCAGTTGTGACAGAGAAGTACACAGACACAAACTTTACCAGTTGTGACAGAGAAGTACTCAGACACAAACCTTACCAGTTGAAGCAGAGAAGTACTCAGACACAAACCTTACCAGTTGTGACAGAGAAGTACACAGACACAAACCTTACCAGTTGTGACAGAGAAGTACTCAGACACAAACCTTACCAGTTGTGACAGAGAAGTACTCAGACACAAACCTTACCAGTTGTGACAGAGAAGTACTCAGACACAAACCTTACCAGTTGTGACAGAGAAGTACTCAGACACAAACCTCACCAATTTAAATACATGAATGAAAGTTATTATGCGTGGATTAAAGATGACGGCTTCATTCAAGATTGAATTTTTTTTAGTTTATTGAATTTGCCAATTCACATGAAGATAATTTTACCAAGAAGAGAGGACTCCAGCTGCAAGTTTATATGTGAAGACCGTCAGGTTTAACGGCTGAACATACCGGTTAAGCCGGACATGAACAACAGTTTGATCAGCCGGAGTTCATGAAAACATAGGGCTATGACTTACCTGCTGCCATCGGTCTTCCAACGAAAGCTGAGACGAGAAGTAGCCGGTATCATGTACCACCTGAAGCTCCCTGAAGATACCTCCGCTCGGCAGTATGTCCATGTCTTCACCAAAGATTTGGGGGTGAGTGAAATTGTTAAACAGTTAGTTTACTACTGGCAGTAGCATATACACTGTTACATGTACCGAAACCAAATTCAAATCATACATGTGATGCGCGGGCGAAAAACAAACCTTGGTCACTTCAAATTATACGGCTCCAAATGACTATGACGTTATATGAGACCCACAGTTTTCTTCTGTCATGAGTTAAACCGAACTCCCTTCTCTAAACTGCCTACACTGACATATTTCAAATCTGACATCAGTCCGCCGGTCGACTACTCGTAGAGTCACTTCACCACAACTCTGCCTACGAGTCTCCAGTCAACATAAACAGAAGCTTTCTTCCAGCCTCGTTCTCGCACTGAGCCAGAACTGGACCGGCGCATTCAAACCGAGGGTGAATCAACACCGTCGGTCTGAGGGAACATATAATAATGAGAAAAAGCGAATCTTACATACTTATTGTATATGCGTCAGATTGTTTGAAGCATCCACACAATAACAATTTACTAATGTAGTCAGCATAAGTCATAGAGGCTCTACACTCAATATATATTTATCGTTTCCGAGTTTACTTTTAACTTATGTAATAGGAGAAGTATTGATCCATAATCAGCGATCTTTTTTTTTTGAGTAAAATATTACTAATGTTATTGGTTTCGTGGAAGTTTTTTATTCATAATGATCAACTTTAATTCGTGTTGTTAACATTGCTTTACGTCTACTAGGGAACAGAAATATCGACTCTGACAAATGTTGGGTTTTTGCGAGAAATGTGGCTTTCACTGCCGCATCAAAGGAGAGTGACTGCTACAACTACAGGTGTAAAGGGGATTTCTTCATTAAAGTCTTTTAAACTTAATTTTACAAGTAAAGAAAATGAATCAAGATGTTGGTAAAAATTAAAGTTATATCGAGGCTTTTCGCTTCCATAAACTGTCTGCATAAATGTGTTTGAACTTTCCTAGAAATCCCCCCTCTTTTCGCTGCAAAACGAAGTCCTGAGTCTGGTTATTTCTAGTTTTATATTCGTGGTGATCGTTAAGTAAATACTTACCTAGGAGCCACCAATTTCTTACGTCTCCAGTCGTTTGTTAATTTTCCGTAAAAATTCTTTCCGAGGAAACTTTAGCCATACAAGTTATTTCTTAAATAAAACTAATTTATTCTTTCTCAATACAATTTTGCAATACACTTAATTTCCACAGTCA